TATTAATATTCTGTCCGATGCCTGCCTCACACTTTTACCATAATATTACTATGTATCATCGATACTTTTCGTGAAAATACTTTGAATTATTTTTATTCGATCTTATTACGAGACTTGGACAATACTTTGTTTTGATACACCTTAGCGAATGACCACCTCACTCTTGTTCGATTGATTGACGAGGTTCTTACGATACTTGACATATTAATATTCTGTCCGATACCTGCCTCATACTTGTACCATAATATTACGAGGTATCATCGATACTTTGCGTGAAAATACTTTGAATTATTTTTATTCGATCTTATTACGAGACTTGGACAATACTTTGTTTTGATACACCTTAGCGAATGACCACCTCACTCTTGTTCGATTGATTGACGAGGTTCTTACGATACTTGACATTTAAATATTCTGTCCGATACCCGCCTCATACTTTTACCATACTATTACGAGGTATTATCCATACTTTGCGTGAAAATACTTTGAATTATTTTTATTCGATCTTATTACGAGACTTGGACAATACTTTGTTTTGATACACCTTAGCGAATGACCACCTCACTCTTGTTCGATTGATTGACGATGTTCTTACGATANCTCCGTTTTAAACCTATCAGCGCCATCTCCCATGTATATCATCAACTGACTTCGTCGATAGGGAAGACTAAGTTGACAATATCACTACGTTTCACCCTCTTGTATTTACGTGTGTTTTCAGTTGCCGAATTGACCAGATCTGTGGTCAGTTGCAGATGTGTTCAGTTGACTGTGTCCAGTTGCACCCATCCCTGTAAAACGGTACTATGTACCAATCGCAGTTAAATAAATCTATATAATATAAAAACAATAAACAAAACAAAATAATTGATTGCATGAACTTTTACTATTTACACAGAAAAAAGTGAAGAACTTGATTAACCAATGGAAACGTCCTTACCTTGCTCAAAATTGAGGCGATTTTCTGGACTAAGGAAACTGTAGATGTGTTCCATGCAGTCGGCGGGTATGAGTAATATTGGCGATCGCAACGTAGATGTGGGAGCCAGCTAGTGGTCATGAAGGTAACTGCGATTGGGGGCTAGTCAATGAGATCGCTAGATAATCCGGTGTTTATCAGGGTATGTTTTCGAACGTCGTTTTGGAGCAGAATGGCTTCAAGTCGATCTAAATTCAATATATTCCTCTCAAATATTATTACTTTATTAGAGAATACTAAACGGCCCATCAGTGCGGGGGGAAAAGTATTATTAGCTGATCACATTGTTCTTGGTGGGATAAGGAATGAAAGTCCAAAGGGGATTCATATTTTAGCGGCTTGTCGACAATCCTCACACTTGCAACAAATTCATGACATTCATATAATTATAAAAATACTTAGTGGAGTGAAGAAAATCAAATGTCATTGTTCTTGCAAAGCGGGTGGAGGCAACAAATGCAAGCACATTTTTGCCACTTTGTTATATGTTAATAGGTGAGGCTTTTCTGTCGAACTTTGGTTCAATTTTGATGGTAGGGAAATTCTTGAAACATTGTTGTTATGCTATTTTTCAGGAAACGTCTCGAGAATTTAGACCTTATCAGCTCAACAGATTTGAAACAGCAGTCGGGTAAAATCAAATCAGCCAAAAAAAATTCAGAGGATCAAGTTGTTACGATTGATAAATTCTGTTGTTATCAAACGGACGCTGCAAGAGAATTTGTACCTGATAAGCCATTAAATGATTATTTTGTAAATAGGACATTCGCAGGTGAATATTATCCATACGAAATCTGAGATTCGTGCAGGTCTATTAATTAATTCAGTAGCTAAGCGGTAAAACGGCTCAGCTCAACTTACTTCTTACATGAGTTTTCAATGAATATGTTCGAACCTAAGAGATAGGGAAATTTTCGTAATGACCTTCATTGTGGCTCTCAATTCGCTCTACTAAAGGTTCTACAAAACAATTTGCTATGTGGGTTAGACTCCGAGATGTTAATTAAACATTGACGAGAAGTGAAAATTGACTTGAACCCTTTCACTGCTCTGTCACTGAATTTGCCGTGACTCAGATGGTACAAATATTTAATATTTTGCATGGTGGACTGAATGAATGTATGCATTTATTGTAGGATTGCCAGATTCTGAGGCTGCTATCTATTCTTCTGAAGAAAGAGCAACTGCTTCACAAGTAGTTCAGAATGAACAGAATGCCAGATGGATTTATTAGATATGGCACTTATGCATGTTTTACATGCATAATGAGAGTAACGCATTGGGGTAAGGCATCGTATTTTAAGGTTATTTTCCTTTGAAGCGAATCTACCCTGGTAAAACAGTCCGATTATTTCCGACTGGGTGATAAAAAATGAATCGGCGTGAATAATGTTTCTGAATAATGTTAATGATTTCTTTGCCCGTTAAATTCCGATTGGCTGGTAGGTAGAGTTTGGAGTTTGAGAAAATTATGAGAATTAATAGGATCAAGGGTATGTGGCCGTTATCGTCCGATTACTTTCCAACAAAGTGGTTGATAGATCTCATATTGCTCATATAAATCTTCAATATTTATTGCTCATTTAAATATTTATTTGCGTAATATGAGATTTATCAACCACTTTTTTGGAAAGTAATCGGACGATAACGGCTACGTACCCTTGTTCCCATTAATTCTCATAATTTTCTAAAACTCCAAACTCTACCTACCAGCCAATCGGAATTTAACGGGCAAAGACAGAAATATTATTAACGCTGATTCATTTTTTATCACCCAGTCGGAAATAATCGGACTGTTTTACCAGGGTACAATATAAATTCCCATCATTCATTGCCATTCGGTTAATTCCAAAGAATTTCTATCTATTTTCATGAATTGGATTCACTTACTGTGGGGTAAGAATGCATCTGTGGAGAAGTACTTGCTACATACTCGCATGCTCTCTACATAATAAGGCACTTTCAGACGTTCCAGGCACTTTTTCCGATCTACTTCCTACTGTGGGAACCGATGAAAGCTAATTTTCTGAATACCCCCTGGTCTACAGCCCGAAACACTACATGTTTTTCTTATCCTTGAACAATTTTTAGACATTTCTGTTTTTCAAGATATGAAATCGACAATCGATAATATTAAGTGTGGCGCCCAGTGATCTCATTGGTTTGCCCCCAACAGCAGTTACCTTCATGATCACTAGGTGGCTCCTACATCTACGTTGCGATCGCCAATTGGTGCCTCGATGCACTCCATGTTATCTCAAGCTCCTACAAGAAGAATTTGAAAAGAATGATTATTGAGGAGATTTCGATATCATTATCATATTATAATTGAACATGTTCATACCTTGCTTGGCTCATGACGTCACACTAATTAATTTGTATTTTTTAGGGGATTATAGATTATAAGCCACTGCAAGTTGAACACGTATTTAGAGCCCGTTAATACCGTCGAAAAGGCACACGTAATGGGAATAGACTATGCCGTAAATTTGGTTCTGCGTAGCCCTCTCCAGGTAAAAATTTAAAGGACACTTGAGTGGCCTAAAGATCCAACCTCTGTCTGTGATCACCACCGAATGATTACGAAGACGCAGCCATACGCCATTTCGATCTCTCAGTATTCAGGAAGGAACTACTGAGATCCATTAACCTCTGATGAGGTATTTCTCCATACGGACAAGCACAGACGCGCGAGATTCAATTGAAAATCAATTCAAAAAAATTAATTCTCAGAAATGAATCTCTCGCCCGATGTAAACAAAAGAAGGGATCAAGTTTTCCAGGCTAAAAAATTACGAGTGATTTTTTCTGAAAAACTCGAAGACTTCGTTTGTGTGCAGGGATCCTTGAGGGAAATACCTGATTCATTTTGAAGCTCGAGTGGTATTCGGGAGAGAATTTTTCCATCCAAATTTCGGCCAAGAGAATTGCACCATGAGACGAAATGAATTTGTCAGTTTCGGTGAACGGTTCACTCAATTGAATGATCTTTTGTTTTTTTATATAGTAACTACCAGAGAAAATTGTCAAAAAATTATCAGTAGTAATACCACGAGACCTCCAAAATTATTGGATATTTTCCGATTGTTTTGTTGCGTAGCAACGAGAGGGAGAAGATTTGCAGATTAAAATCCCGAGCGCGCAGCGCGAGGGATTTTTGTGCAAAACTTATCCCGATCGTTGATACGCAGGAAAACATGAGGGAAATGTTCGATTAATTTTGGAGGTCGAGTGGTATTCGACGGATTATTTTTGGTAATCGGATCCTTCCCAAACCGACTGATTTTGACTTTCTTGATGACCTTCTTTCACTCCACAGATAATATTTGACAGTTATTTGATTAGAGAAACAATTGCAGAGCTAGAGGGAAATTATTAAAAGCTACAGGGGAATTATCAAAAGCTAGGGGGAAATAACCGCTGTAATTTTAATTGGGAAGTACTTCATGTTATTGAATGCTGAACTCTGATTGGCTCAGGGAAGGCCAGATCCGATTACCAAAAATAATCAGTAGTAATACCACGAGACCTCCAAAATTATCGGATATTTCCCGAATGTTTTGTTGCATAGCAATGAGAGGGATCAGTTTTGCAGACTGCGCTGCGCGCTCGGGATTTTAATCTGCAAAACTGATCCCGATCGTTGATATGCAGGAAAACTTGAGGGAAATATCCGATGAATTTTGAAGGTCGAGGGGTATTCGGAGAATAATTTCTTCAATTCTGATTTTGGCCGATCGAGGTGCAGTGTTCGGGGTTCCGGGACACATTTCACCAAAATATGAGGAATGTGTCTGCATACTCCGTGGTTGTGTTGGGAGGCGGGAGGTGTACCTTCTATGTCTCGCTTCATAGTTCGTGGTTGTGGAGAGATACGTGAGGGGCGCCTCTATCACTCCAATGCATAGTTCACGGCTATGATTAATGACAGGTGTTGCTGCAGACCCCGATGTTATTGTTAGAGGATTTTGTCATTTTTAATCAATTAATATGTTGTCGTTGCTCCACGCATATTTTATTAGAGTGTATAGTGACTACGTACTAAACGTGTCAATGTAATTCTGTATATTTCAAGCAAGTGTTTACGCAATTTGTGCAATTTTCAGTATTACAAGGCTAGAGTGTTTGTTTTGATTACAATGTATTTGCGTGAGTTTTATTGTAAAATTTAGAGTGACATTCGGTCATGGAATTTATGTTTGGTTTTCAGAGCCTGAAGAAGCTGCGATTTGCAGCGAAACGTCGCGATTTGACAATAAATTAGTATTGCTGTACACTTCCAACATCTCATTAATTCTTCCTCTTAATATGAGGAATATCTGTCAAATTCGTAGAAAACAGTTGACAGGCNGATTTTGACTTTCTTGATGACCTTCTTTCACTCCACAGATAATATTTGACAGTTATTTGATTAGAGAAACAATTGCAGAGCTAGAGGGAAATTATTAAAAGCTACAGGGGAATTATCAAAAGCTAGGGGGAAATAACCGCTGTAATTTTAATTGGGAAGTACTTCATGTTATTGAATGCTGAACTCTGATTGGCTCAGGGAAGGCCAGATCCGATTACCAAAAATAATCAGTAGTAATACCACGAGACCTCCAAAATTATCGGATATTTCCCGAATGTTTTGTTGCATAGCAATGAGAGGGATCAGTTTTGCAGACTGCGCTGCGCGCTCGGGATTTTAATCTGCAAAACTGATCCCGATCGTTGATATGCAGGAAAACTTGAGGGAAATATCCGATGAATTTTGAAGGTCGAGGGGTATTCGGAGAATAATTTCTTCAATTCTGATTTTGGCCGATCGAGGTGCAGTGTTCGGGGTTCCGGGACACATTTCACCAAAATATGAGGAATGTGTCTGCATACTCCGTGGTTGTGTTGGGAGGCGGGAGGTGTACCTTCTATGTCTCGCTTCATAGTTCGTGGTTGTGGAGAGATACGTGAGGGGCGCCTCTATCACTCCAATGCATAGTTCACGGCTATGATTAATGACAGGTGTTGCTGCAGACCCCGATGTTATTGTTAGAGGATTTTGTCATTTTTAATCAATTAATATGTTGTCGTTGCTCCACGCATATTTTATTAGAGTGTATAGTGACTACGTACTAAACGTGTCAATGTAATTCTGTATATTTCAAGCAAGTGTTTACGCAATTTGTGCAATTTTCAGTATTACAAGGCTAGAGTGTTTGTTTTGATTACAATGTATTTGCGTGAGTTTTATTGTAAAATTTAGAGTGACATTCGGTCATGGAATTTATGTTTGGTTTTCAGAGCCTGAAGAAGCTGCGATTTGCAGCGAAACGTCGCGATTTGACAATAAATTAGTATTGCTGTACACTTCCAACATCTCATTAATTCTTCCTCTTAATATGAGGAATATCTGTCAAATTCGTAGAAAACAGTTGACAGGCTACAGGAAAATTATGAGTCTGATAATTTCCCTGCAGCCGCGGAAATTATCAGTGTGAAACACCTCACGTGACCCCGAATACTGCACTCTGATTGGTCAAAATCGGAATTGAGAAAATTGTCAGCTATAATACCCAAGAACCTTCAAAATTATCAAATATTTCCCAAATGTTTTGTTGCATAGCAGCGAGAGGGATCAGAGAGGGAGCGCTGCACGCTCGGGATTTTAATCTGCAAAACTGATCCCGATCGTTGATATGCAGGAAAACTTGAGGGAAATATCTGATGAATTTTGAAGGTCGCGAGGTATTCGGAGGATATATTTAATAGAAAATCGAAAAAATAAATCGACGTGTTTCAGGGTTTCCGCCCGACCAGCCCTTCAGGGGGTAAACAACCCCTGGGAATGGTTTATTCCTGTTGACTCAAATTTCTGCAAACTTGCATGATCATTCTGCATAAAATCGTCTGATTAATATGTTCTATTTGTTTATCATAATGCAAATCTACAAGGGGAGTGTTTTTTCATTTTTTGTGACATTTTTCATTTATCAGAAAGTATTTTAAAAAATTGAAAAGTGATTAGAAATTAGTATAAATTGGAAAATTAGTATAGGAACAAAAATGATGTAATTTAATCCAACAGTCCCGAACTCTGCGTATTCGAAACTTGGTCCGAACGAACCAAGCACGTTATTTTTGCTTTATTTCAATATTTCATAGACTTTAAAAGTCTGTATTTTTTTCAACCTCCTGTTTGTTGGAATACAACGATGATCTGACACTCACATACACAATGACACTGACACACAGACACCATGCTATGTATACACACAGTAACACCCGGCACAGCCAGGGAC